GCAGCGAGTTCCGCAGCCATTTATTCATCAATATGTTGTGTAATTAAAATACTAACCTAACTCATTGAAATATGAATTATTCTCATTAGTTTAAAAAGTACACGTTTCAGATGAATGTCTTAGTTGAATAGTTCAATAGTATATTGGTGAGTAGATGGCTGCGGAACTCGCTGCGCTCGTCCCGCAGAGGTCCACCCATAAATTCCGCAACAATACACATATTTGTACTTGAACAATAGCCTATTATATAAAGTCAAAATTTGTAAGATTATGATTATTCACTCTTTGTCAATTTGCCTATTAACAGGAATTAGTAATGTTAATTTACCAAACTAGTAATATAATGTGACTAGTTATTTAAGTACAAACGAGTGAATTGTTGCGGAATTTATGGGTGGACCTCTGCGGGACGAGCGCAGCGAGTTCCGCAGCCATTTATTCATCAATATGTTGTGTAATTAAAATACTAACCTAACTCACTGAAATATGAATTATTCTCATTAGTTTAAAAAGTACACGTTTCAGATGAATGTCTTAGTTGAATAGTTCAATAGTATATTGGTGAGTAGATGGCTGCGGAACTCGCTGCGCTCGTCCCGCAGAGGTCCACCCATAAATTCCGCAACAATACACATATTTGTACTTGAACAATAGCCTATTATATAAAGTCAAAATTTGTTAGATTATGATTATTCACTCTTTGTCAATTTGCCTATTAACAGGAATTAGTAATGTTAATTTACCAAACTAGTAATATAATGTGACTAGTTATTTAAGTACAAACGAGTGAATTGTTGCGGAATTTATGGGTGGACCTCTGCGGGACGAGCGCAGCGAGTTCCGCAGCCATTTATTCATCAATATGTTGTGTAATTTAAATACTAACCTAACTCACTCAAATATGAATTATTCTCATTAGTTTAAAAAGTACACGTTTCAGATGAATGTCTTAGTTGAATAGTTCAACAGTATATTGGTGAGTAGATGGCTGCGGAACTCGCTGCGCTCGTCCCGCAGAGGTCCACCCATAAATTCCGCAACAATCCACTTATTTGTACTTGAACAATAATTTATTATTTAAAGTCAAAATTTGTAAAATTTTGATTATTCACTCTTTGTTAATTTACCTATTAACAGGAATAAGTAATGTTACTTTATTAAACTAGTAATATAATTGACAAGTTATTCAAGTACAAACGAGTGAATTGTTGCGGAACTTATGGGTGGACCAGCCATCTATTCACCAATATGTTGTTCAAATACAATACTGACTTAATTCTCTCAGTTGTGAGTTTTTCTCATCAGTACAAAAACTACACGTTTTAGGTGAATGTCTTACTTGAACAATTCAACAGTATATTGGTAAGTGGATGGCTATAAGTTCCGCAACAATCCACTCGTTTGTACAAGGTGTTTTTTTTATATATTAACACCTCACCTACAGCCTTTACCTTTACAGGTAGAAGAAAAGTGTAAATACAAAAGTTGTACAGTTTTGATTGAATTTTTAGAAACCATGGTCAGAAACAAAATTTAAATGTCAGACATGTGAAATTTCACATACTTCCAACTTTTTTCAAATGGGATGCCCTATAATTTATTCTATATTCTTGAAGAGTACAATGCCCCGATTCCAAAAATATATAGTTTGTCTGTATTTGATTGGGCAGTTTCTCATTTATTTGGCTCCAAAAATTGTAAAAATATTATCCTACTACTGATTTTGTGAACCATTCTACCTGTACAGGTGAATGCTGCAGGTAAAATTTGAGGTAGGTACCTACTTGGTTTCTCTGATAATATTTTCAAAATTTTTAGAACTAAATATGTTCAAAATGGCTCAACGAAATATAGACAAACTAAATAATTGTGCTCTTCAAGAATATAGAATCGAATATAGGGCATCCCATTTGGAAAAAGCTGAAAGCATGCAACATTTCACATTTCTGACATTCAATTTCTGTTTTTGACCATGGATTCTTAAAATTTAGCCAATTCTGTACAACTTTAGTATTTACATATTTCATCTACCTGTAAAGGTAAAGGCTGTAGGTGGGATGCCAATATATAGAAAAACACCCTGTACATACATCAAACTGGCTTATACTTAAATTTTTCCTGGCATATAGACTCAAAATAGATCGCAAATCTAGCAGCTGGACTAAATGTTTCATAATATTGTTACTTCTTCTGTGAATAACTTTTTGTATTTTAACTTGGTGTAGTCAGCCCTCTTACCATTGGGTAATTTTCCTCAAGTCCAAATACAGTTCTTCTTTAAAGACTTCATCTCTCTTCTCATAGCTATTTCCTAGTGATTTGCTCTATTACTTGACATATTTTCTCGATACGTAATTGTTTATATCTATAATGTCTGCAGCAACCATTATAACGAAGTCTTCAAACCTGGCAGGCTTTTGTATCTGATTTCTATCTCTTAGTCGTCTACTCGGTAAATTTGGGATTTATTCTGAAATGTCTGGTGATTCTACTAATGTCAGAACGAGTGTCAGAAAAACTGTGATTCCCAGTTTTGTTGTTCATTATTTTCTTTAGTTCTTTGTTCTGGAGTATCTTTCCTGCTTCGGACAATCTTACAATTGTTTTGCCAATAGAATTTTGCAACAATGGCAACGTTGAAGTTATGAGTTTTTCGTCGAATAATCACATCCCTCGATCTGACTAGTTTCTCAGATTCCTCACACCAAATCCAATATTATCCTATAAGTATAGTGTTAATTTTGCGTAATATTCGCTAATATTTGGAAGTATTGATTTCTAATTCTTATTGTCGCTATCAGAATCCTGATCAGAACCAGGAACTCTCTTCAGATACATCATCTATTAACATTTTCGAGCAACCTGGTTCTGGATTATCCTGGGATTCCGATGAATCTCCTCGAGAGGGACTCTATAGCTAATAATTTTGTTGTTACATATACTTATCTTCCAACTCTTTCTGTTATTATAGTTTGTTTGTTTTCTTGTTTAGAGAATGTGTTCTATGGTGGGTTCGCGCGTAGGGTATTCCCGAAAATATTTCTTGAAAAATTACTGAGAATTTCACGTATTTCACCGTATAGAAGTAATATTCTTTAGAGCATCGTGTAATATTACGTAAATTACGGTAACTCACGGAATAATATTCCGTTGGTTATACAACTGACTGTACATTATTCCCATATGACACGAGAGGCTTAACAAGTGATAAGCCTTTTGGGATTATCGCGCTTGGTGGCAATATTGTTCATTTGCTATTAATAATAATGAAAATTAATAAAGTATTAAAGTTTAGTTCGTTGTATAACCTTTTGAATACCACTCGGTGTTTCAGGATTACCTAACACTTTTACCTGACACTCAACGCGTTACTAGCAACACCACTCCTCCTACGGAGTCGTGGTGTTGCTGCGTAACGCGTTTCGTGTCAGGTAATTATCCGGTAATCCTGGAACCTCTTGTGGTATTACATTCGATAATATTCGCCTTGCCCACCACTATATAAGTATGCCTTTCACTATGCCTTTTTATCAATTTTTTTTTCCTGGCTTTGGTATATGGGCATTACAGGATGTTCAAATAATTCTTATGTGTTTTAAAGAAGTCTTTTTCTCATACCGAAGTTCAAATGGAGATTTTCTTTCGATGCTATGTAGAATTACCACTCCTATTCAAAATGTACGCCGATATAAGTTTTTATTATTTAAGCCCAAAAAAGTTGTGAAAGATTTTCATTAGTATGCAAGATGTTTCAACGATAGTAGGATTATCTCGCTGTGCACAACCATTTTGCTCTGGTGTATAAAGCATTACGTGTCTGCTTGATTCCACTTTCTTGTAGAATTTGTCTTACTTGACCATTGTCAAATTTTCCACCATTATCTGAGAGCAGCTCTTTCACTGTATGTCCTACTGTTTTTACTTAATTGTCAGTTTTTCCGCAACTTCAGATCAGAAAGTAACGATTGTAGTCCTTTGAAAGGAATAAAATTCAGTGAAAGTTTCAGCTTTCTATCGTTAATAGAAAAAAAGTTACGACCTTTGAAAGTTTTCCGAAAAAATCATAAGGGGGGTAACTTCTTAGTAAAATGATGAAATTTCAATTTTTTTTTTGTTGAGATTATGGGTCCTACTGGTCCCTCGTGATACCCTGAACTCCATACACTAAATTATTCTCAGATTTGAAGCCGAAATCTATGGAAAAAGGCACTCAGAAAAATTGAAAAATTGATAAATCGCCCCAAATTGATTAACACGATTTTATCTCAAGAACTATAAGTGCAAATGAGCTGAAATTTCCAGGGATTATATTCCCTTTACTGAGATAAGATTCAGTGAAAACTTCAGCTTTCAGGATTTTCCCTCTACTTACCCATGGTTTCTCTACAAGTGCAATGTCGTACTTTTCCATGGTCCTAATTAGAGCGGCAGAGGCAGCTTTACTGTGCTACAGGTTTATTTAAAGAACCCTGATCACTCATATTATGACTTGAGTTTTGTCTCAATATTTTCGTTTTTCCTCGAACCAATTTTCCAAACTTTAATTTAATATAATTTGGTTTATTAAATTATTTCTAAGATGGGGAGTGGGAAATCCTTGCAGCTTTGCAACCAGGGTCCAGCATTTGCATATCATTGAGAAAGACGAAACACTCTTTCTCCTGAAATCATTGGTCCTCTGTTAAAAAATAGGGACTCAGCAAGCTTTTGACAAAGAGTTTACATAAAAGGTAAAAACAAAATAATGCAACAAAACCCTAAAGACAAATCAAATAAAGTCAATGTCAAAGTGCAAATTCTTCCAATTCTCCATTAAGTCCTAATGAAACATTTCTGGTTATCTTCCATAAAGCAGTTACGATATTTGACACACATCATTATCACAGATGCATTTTTTTTTTTTGCGAAACCATTTAATAATATCGACCTGTGGCACCTTGGAATTTGAACATCCACCAATAGAAATTTGCCTTGGCCAATTAAGTTGGTGATTAAATGGTGCGCCGCCATCAGTTAGTTCAATGACAACTTCTTTCCCTCTTCGATTTTTCGACGTCGAAACAAATTTTACCAAAGTTTTTATTATTATTATTTGTCGAGTACCAGCAGTAGTAGTACCAGCGTAATTGTTTTTATTTTTAGGTGTTTGGGCCAATAATTTATATAGAGAAGATTGTTTGCGTGATTGTTGTACATATAAGTTTTGTTAGTTTTGGGTTAGTGCTATATGGTGCCATTAGAATACTAAATTCTGTTAAATTCTAAATTAATTTCTGTTTTTGTTTCAGGTAAGCTAATCTAGTCATTATGAAGTGGTTGGTTAGTTCCGCGTGCGTATTTAGTGCCCTTATTCTCACAGTATATGCAGCGCCAGCGTCCACAGGTCTCCAGGTAATGTCTCGACACACCACAATAATTTTTGCAATTTTTTACTAAGCGAATACATATGGAAATTTCAGTAAAACACACAATATATCTTCACTTTTTATTTTATAAAAAATATAGTCAGTTGCAACATGTTTTGGATCTATCATATCAACTCTGCCTTGTAAAATTTATGCTGATGATGGATTTGAAACATGTTGCAACTGATTATAAAGACTGTATGTTTTACTCCATACATAAGGGTATACCTACAATCTTTGAATTCTTAGTAGAAAATTGCACATACAACACAAGTGACTCCATGCTGGTAAACCTAAATTGCCGCACTTATAAAAAATTCATTGTGCAACAGAAGTCTCAAAAACATTGCAAGAAAGTGGGTCATATTTTTCCATTTTATATATTATTGATGCAAAAGAAGCAAACCAAAGATTATATTTTTATTATTCAAATGTCGCCGGACACAATTATAGAAAAACCAATTTGTATGTAATACGTAAGCGACAATGCAAGGCGAAATGTTAATGGCAAATTGGCGAATAAATTTGCATAGGTACCTACGCCTGCTATTGTGGTATTTTAATGGTGATTTTGTTCCACACAAATAAGATTTATTAACTGAAAACTCTCCACATTTTTTTTCAAGATTTATATAAGTTTGCGTTACTGAAATTCAAATTTTGATTATTCCCGGCTTTTGATTGGCTACATCATTGAAAGAGTTTTCAAGATATTAGGATACCATTTTGAAGCCCTTATCGATAGCTACAAATTCTGAAAATTTTGTCCCAGTACCTGTTTTGGTTACCGAGATATTCAAATTTGAAGATTTGGCAATGAAAATCCAGAGGGCACTTGTAGTGAAAACTGGAAAAAAGTTTGATAACGAGCCATATTCTACAATGGTAAAATCAGTATAGATATCAATGATTATTTCCACTTGAGGGTATCTGATAATTAAATTCCAGACATTTTTGGTATTGCAACATCATGAATAATTACTTATATCTTGAATAGCTTTTGAGCAAATTAAGTTAAATTATGTATCATCAGAAAGAGCATTAAATTCTCTTTAAAACTGTACCATATTGGTTCCAGTACCTCAACGGGTTCATGAGCGATCGACTGTTAAAGTTAAACTTTAGTCAAAATTTTGTCTAAAACTGCAAACTTGATTTTCTCAAAAACTATGAAAGCTAGCGATTTCAACTAACTGCCATCTGAAAGCCCTCATCAAGAGTTACAAACCCTGCAAATTTTATCTTGGTACCACTTTTGGTTCCCAAGATATCAAGCTTTGATGATTTACAAATGAAAATTCAAAAAAGTGCAAAAAATTGAAAATTTTTATTTTTGAATTTTTGTCAATTCTAAATTCGGAAATCGATAGAGCGAGTTCAAATTCAATAGAATTTCAGCAAATCAGCTACAATTATATATCAATGGAAAGAGCATTAAATTCTCTTCAAAACTGTATCATACTGGTTCCAGTACCTCAACGGGTTCATGAGCACTTGAACTTCAAAGTTGAACTTTAATCAAAATTTTGTCCAAAACTTCAAACTCGGTTTTCTCAAAAACTATGAAAGCTAGCGATTTCAACTTAATACTATCTGAAAGCCCTCATCAAGAGCTACAAACCCTGCAAATTTTGTCTCGGTACCACTTTTGGTTCCCCAGATATCAAGCTTTGAAGATTTGAAAATAAAAATCCAAAGGGGTTACCCTTAGAAAAAAGTGCAAAAAATTTAAAAAATTTATTTTTCAATTTTTCTCAATTCTAACTTCAGAAATCGATAGAGCGAGTTCAAATTAGTCAGAAACGACTCTTAGATCAGTTAGATTTGAGAATTATAATGAGAGAAAAAATCTTAAAGGAAATCTCAATTTTTGTCTCTGGAAATTTTTTGAAATCTTGACACGCTCATGAATAATTGCCCATATCTTCAATAGAATTTCAGCAAATCAGCTACAATTATATATCAATGGAAAGAGCATTAAATTCTCTTCAAAACTGTATCATACTGGTTCCAGTACCTCAACGGGTTCATGAGCAATTGAACTTCAAAGTTGAACTTTAATCAAAATTTTGTCCAAAACTTCAAACTCGGTTTTCTCAAAAACTATAAAAGCTAGCGATTTCAACTTAATACTATCTGAAAGCCCTCATCAAGAGCTACAAACCCTGCAAATTTTGTCTCGGTACCACTTTTGGTTCCCCAGATATCAAGCTTTGAAGATTTGAAAATAAAAATCCAAAGGGGTTACCCTTAGAAAAAAGTGCGAAAAATTGAAAATTTTTATTTTTGAATTTTTCTCAATTCTAACTTCAGAAATCGATAGAGCGAGTTCTAATTAGTCAGAAACGACTCTTGGACCAATAGGATTTGAGAATTATAATGAGAGAAAAAATCCTAAAGGAAATCTCAATTTTTGTCTCTGGAAATTTTTTGAAATCTTGACACGCTCATAAATAATTGCCCATTACTCCAATATAATTTGAGCAAATTAGCTGCAATTATATATCATTGGAAAGAGCATTAAATTCTCTTCAAAACTGTATCATACTGGTTCCAGTACTTCAACGGGTTCATGAGCAATTGAACTTCAAAGTTGAACTTTAATCAAAATTTTGTCCAAAACTTCAAACTCGGTTTTCTCAAAAACTATAAAAGCTAGCGATTCCAACTTAATACTATCTGAAAGCCCTCATCAAGAGCTACAAACCCTGTAAATTTTGTCTCGGTACCACTTTTGGTTCCCCAGATATCAAGCTTTGAAGATTTGAAAATAAAAATCCAAAGGGGTTACTACCCTTAGAAAAAAGTGCGAAAAATTGAAAATTTTTATTTTTGAATTTTTCTCAATTCTAACTTCAGAAATCGATAGAGCGAGTTCTAATTAGTCAGAAACGACTCTTGGACCAATAGGATTTGAGAATTATAATGAGAGAAAAAATCCTAAAGGAAATCTCAATTTTTGTCTCTGGAAATTTTTTGAAATCTTGACACGCTCATAAATAATTGCCCATTACTCCAATATAATTTGAGCAAATTAGCTGCAATTATATATCATTGGAAAGAGCATTAAATTCTCTTCAAAACTGTATCATACTGGTTCCAGTACCTCAACGGGTCCATGAGCAATTGAACTTCAAAGTTCAACTTTAATCAAAATTTTGTCCAAAACTTCAAACTCGGTTTTCTCAAAAACTATAAAAGCTAGCGATTTCAACTTAATACTATCTGAAAGCCCTCATCAAGAGCTACAAACCCTGCAAATTTTGTCTCGGTACCACTTTTGGTTCCCCAGATATCAAGCTTTGAAGATTTGAAAATAAAAATCCAAAGGGGTTACTACCCTTAGAAAAAAGTGCGAAAAATTGAAAATTTTTATTTTTGAATTTTTCTCAATTCTAACTTCAGAAATCGATAGAGCGAGTTCTAATTAGTCAGAAACGACTCTTGGACCAATAGGATTTGAGAATTATAATGAGAGAAAAAATCCTAAAGGAAATCTCAATTTTTGTCTCTGGAAATTTTTTGAAATCTTGACACGCTCATAAATAATTGCCCATTACTCCAATATAATTTGAGCAAATTAGCTGCAATTATATATCATTGGAAAGAGCATTAAATTCTCTTCAAAACTGTATCATACTGGTTCCAGTACCTCAACGGGTCCATGAGCAATTGAACTTCAAAGTTCAACTTTAATCAAAATTTTGTCCAAAACTTCAAACTCGGTTTTCTCAAAAACTATAAAAGCTAGCGATTTCAACTTAATACTATCTGAAAGCCCTCATCAAGAGCTACAAACCCTGCAAATTTTGTCTCGGTACCACTTTTGGTTCCCCAGATATCAAGCTTTGAAGATTTGAAAATAAAAATCCAAAGTGGTTACCCTTGGAAAAAAGTGCAAAAAATTAAAAACATTTATTTTTCAATTTTTCTCAATTCTAACTTCAGACATCGATAGAGCGAGTTCAAATTAGTCAGAAACGACTCTTAGATCAGTTAGATTTGAGAATTATAATGAGAGAAAAAATCTTAAAGGAAATCTCAATTTTTGTCTCTGGAAATTTTTTGAAATCTTGACACGCTCATGAATAATTGCCCATATCTTCAATAGAATTTCAGCAAATCAGCTACAATTATATATCAATGGAAAGAGCATTAAATTCTCTTCAAAACTGTATCATACTGGTTCCAGTACCTCAACGGGTTCGTGAGCAATTGAACTTCAAAGTTGAACTTTAATCAAAATTTTGTCCAAAACTTCAAACTCGGTTTTCTCAAAAACTATAAAAGCTAGCGATTTCAACTTAATACTATCTAAAAGCCCTCATCAAGAGCTACAAACCCTGCAAATTTTGTCTCGGTACCACTTTTGGTTCCCCAGATATCAAGCTTTGAAGATTTGGAAATAAAAATCCAAAGGGGTTACCCTTAGAAAAAAGTGCAATGGAAAGAGCATTAAATTCTCTTCAAAACTGTACCATATTGGTTCCAGTACCTCAACAGGTTCATGAGCTATTGAAACTTCAAGCTTGATTTTCTCAAAACCGTAAACACTAGCGTTTTCAGCTAAGTACCATTTCAAAATGTAAAGTTTCATGTGAATTGTAAAAACCTCTTCGTTATATAACACACGCCCAGACACAAAGAAGCCAAAAATATCGCATCATTTGCCTTGCAAATCCATCAAATACGAACTTGAAAGGTTTCGAAGAAAGCAATAGTGAAAGTGAAGATTATTATTATATAACGATTATTTTTTGGTTTGCTTCTCCGTTAACAAATTTCTTTTATAGCAAAATTTAAACATTATCAGGTATCTGCGTCTGCCAGTGGTGGAGGAGGAGGAGGTTTGGCAGGTATTTTATCAAATATTGATTTGCCAGGATTATTACAAGGAGTAAACAGTTTCGTTAAACTAGTGGGGGCGTTTTGTCCACCATTGTCGCAGGTAAATCAACAAAAAATGGTCCGCCAATAATTATTTGGACCACAACGCTTAAAACAAACTTTTAGGTGTTGGACAATGTGATCCAAAACGTAACTAGTACCGCCTTCCGGGTGTTTGGTAGAGCGATTTTGCGGAGCGGCGGGCTGGGAGGCAACAGCGGTAGTACCAGTGGAGATTCAGGCGGTCAAAGGGTTAACGTGGTACTGCCCACTTTCCCGCCAGACGAGGATTACGAAGACGAAGACGAAGATGCTTCTACTACTACTACAGTTACTAGTAATATCGCTAAATTGTCGCAAGATGTCGAAGAAGTTTCAGATGCCGCGGTAACCCTTTATACAGTATGTTTTGTTGTGTGTGTGTTGGACGACACATCTTGCAACGATACTTTGCAGGACCCCGTTTCACTAATCATCATTTAAACATCGATGGAACCATCCCCAACATGATATCTTTACGGGACCCGAATATTTGTTGTTGTTTTTTGCACACAATTATTTTTTTGCACCGATGTTTTCTTTGTTTTTTTAACCATTTTAGCTTTTGTATATATTGCATTGATCATTGTGTGAGTCTTAAGGGTTTTTGTTTGACTTCATATGACGATATGTCAAAGTATAAAGTGATTTTTGTTGAAGATAATGATATTTTAACACAGATAGATACTGTATTTGGTTCATAAACTAATGTTTGTTGCGATGCCAAGACTCCTTATGGGCCAGGAGAGGGATTCAGTGAAATGTATATTACGTAAATGGAATGGCACCAGTATTTATTAGGCCTATAGCAGATATTTGATAGGGTAAAAGGGGTGGTCGTCTTTGTCTTACACATTCTTAGACAAGGCTAGGTGAATTTATTCTCGGATTTATTATACCTCACCATACCACACTCGGATTTTTATCCTTTTGAATGTGACACTTGCAAAGCAAAATTCAAACTGAAAGGCAATTTGAAAAATCACATATCAACATACTCGGATGAGAAGAATTTTAAATGCAACATATGTGAGGCTAAATTGAAAACCAAGACTGCTTTAAGAAAACATTTAATAATACACTCGGATATTTTTTTCTTTTGAATGTGACACTTGCAAAGGAAAATTCAAACGTAAAAGTAGTTTGGGAAGGCACATATTAATACACTTGGATTTTTATCCTTTTGAATGTGACACTTGCAAAGCAAAATTCAAACTGAAAGGCAATTTGAAAAATCACATATCAACATACCCGGATGAGAAGAATTTTAAATGCAACATATGTGAAGCTAAATTGAAAACCAAGACTGCTTTAAGAAAACATTTAATAATACACTCGGATATTTTTTTCTTTTGAATGTGACACTTGCAAAGGAAAATTCAAACGTAAAAGTAGTTTGAAAAGGCACATATTAAAACACTTGGATTTTTATCCTTTTGAATGTGACACTTGCAAAGCAAAATTCAAACTGAAAGGCAATTTGAAAAATCACATATCAACATACCCGGATGAGAAGAATTTTAAATGCAACATATGTGAAGCTAAATTAAAAACCAAGAATGCTTTAAGAAAACATTTAATAATACACTCGGATATTTGTTTCTTTTGAATGTGACACTTGCAAAGAAAAATTCAAACGTAAAAGTAGTTTGAAAAGGCACATATGAATACACTCGGATTTTTATCCTTTTGAATGCGATACTTGCAAAGCAAAATTCAAACTGAAAGGCAATTTGAAAAATCACATATTAACATACTCGGATGAGAAGAATTTTAAATGCAACATATGTGTATGTGAGGCTAAATTGAAAACCAAGACTGCTTTAAGAAAACATTTAATAATACACTCGTGTATTTTTTTCTTTTCAGTGTGACACTTGCGAAGGAAAATTCAAACGTAAAAGTAGTTTGGAAAGGCACATATTAATACACTTGGATTTTTATCCTTTTGAATGTGACACTTGCAAAGCAAAATTCAAACTGAAAGGCAATTTGAAAAATCACATATCAACATACCCGGATGAGAAGAATTTTAAATGCAACATATGCGAGGCTAAATTAAAAACCAAGAATGCTTTAAGAAAACAATTAATAATACACTCGGATATTTCTCCTTTTGAATGTGACACTTGCAAAGAAAAATTCAAACGTAAAAGTAGTTTGAAAAGGCACATATGAATACACTCGGATTTTTATCCTTTTGAATGCGATACTTGCAAAGCAAAATTCAAACTGAAAGGCAATTTGAAAAATCACATATTAACATACTCGGATGAGAAGAATTTTAAATGCAACATATGTGTATGTGAGGCTAAATTGAAAACCAAGACTGCTTTAAGAAAACATTTAATAATACACTCGGATATTTCTCCTTTTGAATGTGACACTTGCAAAGGAAAATTCAAACGTAAAAGTAGTTTGAAAAGGCACATATTAATACACTCGGATTTTTATCCTTTTGAATGTGACACTTGCAAAGCAGACGACCTATAAATTCCTTAATAATCCACTTATTTGTACGTGTGAGACAGAACAAACGACTCCTTTTATTGTTGTTCTCACTACTATAAAATTTGCTTCAAAAATGGACATTGAATGCAGCTGTTAGGTCCGTTCCAGTTACGTGTAGTATATAAATAGTTAATTGGAGGGCTTTGGAATTATTAGGCACTAGCTGACGTCACATACATAACCTCACTTTTGAAGGGGAGACAAGCAAAAGTACGAAAATTAAATATTTGTTTATATTACATGTTTGTCCCCCTATCGAAAGTGACGTTATGGGATTTGTGACGTAACAGCTGGCGCCTGTGTGTATAATCTTGTGTGACGTCACATGACATATTATAATGTCTATCTGTGTTTATATGTCATAATATAAATTGAATATCATCAAACAAAAACCCCCAAACAAAACATTCCATTTGACACCTGTGTCAATTGCTGTCAATAACTGACAATTGTTTCTCTTTTGTTTTCAGTCAGTCGACGACGATTCGGCCAATACGATAGCGAAACGTCACGTTCGGGTGTTGAGGGAGGCGCCTGAGGCGGCGGAAACGGCCGAAGAAGAATCTTCGGATCAGGAAGGAGCGGAATCCGCCCCTGAACCCGGTCAAGACGCTAACGACGTCGACGACCAGGACCGTAACAAGCGGTACTCGCCGTTCGGGGGTGGCGATGCTCATACAGGGGCGGGTTCCGGTAACTTTTTGTTCGATATTATAAGGGTAAGGCGCGCGGCATAAGAAATTTTTATCAAAAAGAGGTGTCTGGTATTTTGATGTGACATTTTGTCTCATTTGGTATAACTAATTTCGCAATTGGACAACAAAGAAGGATAACGCGCCATAAAAACTAAAAGAAAACGTTGTTTGATACGCCTCTGGAATTTTAATTATTAAAATTGACAAGTCATATGCTCATTTATAATAATCACCTCCATATTAGGCTACTTACATTAAGTGTTTTTTTATATTTTGTAAATAAAAACTTATATACCCTTACCCCAAAGGCTGATGCAGATTGTTATTTTAGTGTTTTGGTAATAAGTAGAGTTGTGACAACACTGGAAATTCCAATTAAAAATCAATTTTTCTATTGGTTAACGATGTTGCCAAGGCATAATTGGACACACCCTGTAATGGGGTGAAATTTGGGGATTTTATTGATTTTCCAGGGGTCGAATACAGCTCTTTATAGACAATGAATCAGATCCCCAAATTTCAGCCTTATACAGGGTGAGTCTCTAATAATTGACAAATCAATCAGGGTCGGTAATTTCCTAGGAAATAATAATTAAATGGTTTTTTCATTTTCCACAATCTCCCTCTGTATGTAGAAGGATGGTAAGACTTTCATTGGTTGGAGATTTTGTTCAGATACGCCACTAATGTTGGTAACACTGCTATTGTCAACATAAAACGTTTATTGTCGTTAAAAATTCACTGCTACATTGAAAATTCAAATTCTTACAATGTTGCCAGGCTGCCTCGTCACTCATAGTTCCACATAATCTTCAAAGTTTCGTCAGTTTCTAATTTTTTTTGATTATAAGTTTGGGTTACAATGGTAAAATCAGTATAGATATCAATACTTATTTTTATTTGTGGGTATGTAAAGGTGATTCTCTATGAAACGTTTAAGTAATTAAATTCCAGATATTTTTGACATCGCAACATCATGAATAATTGCCCAGATCTTGAATAACTTTTGAGCAAATTGGGTTAAATTATGTACCATTAAAAAGAGCATTAAATTCTCTTCAAATCTGTGCTAAATTTGTTCCAGTAGGTCATGGGTTTTTTGAGCTATTGGGCTTGAAAGTTGATTTTTCTTTGATTTCTTTAATTCTTCCCCTGTACTCAACTTCCCTAATAATTATCTTACAAATTGGCGCCCAACGTGGGGCCACGGTAAGTTTCAAGCTAGCGGATTCCCCAAAAAAGTTTAAATTATAGCGAATTCTAATGATAGAACCAGTGCAAAAAATGTACTTTTATCTCTTTCCTATGCAAACTAGTAAAAAAAGACACGAATACACTCAATGCGCACAATTCTTTTCATTTTCAATATAATTCGCTATAAAATAAATGGTATGCGGGCAGTGCGGACACTAGGCAATTTTTTGCGAGGATAATCAAGCATATTCTTATGGTGGACAGACTTTTATGGTGGGGAAATATGACGTCACACTTGGCTATCAAAGTTGTCAACCAACAGAATAACCACGGTATTTACTGATAAAATAATCATTTCAGGCTGAAAAATGTGTCATACTCCCCCAAGTCTCCCACCATCAAATTTTAGGATACTCGAGAATCAAGAACACTTAATTTTTTCTGTGGCCGAAAATTACATTTGAAATCGACGAAAAAATTAACTCACTTGCACTTGCAAGCATTTCACCGAGGTCTGCGGGTGACGTCATCACTATACTCTGTCCAATCAGCCTACGGAGTGGTGATTTATTAGCCCGCTTTACACTGTAGAGTGATATGTTTTGTAAGATTTTGAAAAAAATAAATGGCATTAATCAGTGTTTAGTGTAAATCTGGCCGGTGTTGAATCTGTCATTCTCCCTAGGTTCGTTGGACAGAGTTTATAAGCCAATGAACTAACCTCTTATATTATAGTGGGGGATACCTTTCTCTCCACTTTATTGTTGTTAGGTTGGTATATTCCTAACCTCAAATATGATATTTTTTAGACAAGGAAAGATTTTGGATTTTCATAATTGGCTTATAAGGTAAATAGAGATAGATATCCCCCACATTCTCCATCTCAATTATAGATAAGCCGGGCCATTTTAGGTACCTACGTGTGGTTTATAGTTCATTGCTATAAGCTTCTGATAGTGACGTCACTCGCAGACCCAAAATTTGATGGTGAGGGAGTTAGGGGAGTATGACATAATCCACCATAATCAGATTATCAGGCGACTCGAATTAACTGATATTCTGTAGTAGTAATGTGTATTATCTTTGTGTTATTTCTACCTGTTTCAAAGTTTAATTTGATGAATTTTAATTTATTTCAATTTCCTTTAATGTTCGTAGTTACTTGGAATATTCATCTACCAATAAAATACCTGGGAATTTTGAAACTTTTTGCATGTAAAGAGGAAGATGAGAAGATCATTTTCCCAAAATTTCAAATTTTTCCAGTGGAAAATAACAACACGAGGAATCTTGGGAATCAACCTACAAAAACTGAATAATTTGAAAATACAGTCTTACACATTTTAAAGTTTTCCTGGAAAACTAGTGAAGGGAAAATTTTGAAACTTTTTGCATGTAAAGAGAAAGGTGGAAAGCTCATTTTCCCAAAATTTCAATTTTTTTCCGTGGAAAATAACAACATAGGGAATATTGGAAATCAACTTACAATAACTGAATTAATTGAAAATACAGTCTCACATATTTCAGAGTTTTCCTGGAAAACTAGAAAAGGGAAAATTTTGTAACTTTTTGCATATAAAGAGGAAGGTGAGAAGCTCATTTTCCCAAAGTTTCAAATTTTTCCAGTGAAAAATAACAACATAAGGAATCTTGGGAATCAACCTACAAAAACTGAATAAGTTGAAAATACAGTCTCACACATTTTAAAGTTTTCCTGGAAAACTAGAGAAGGGAAAATTTTGAAACTTTTTACATGTAGAGAGGAAGGTGAGAAGCTCATTTTCCCAGAATTTCAAATTTTTCTAGTAGAAAATTACAACATGAGGAATCTTGGATCAACCTACAAAAACTGAATTAGTTGAAAATACAGTCTCACATATTTCAAAGTTTTCCTGGAAAACTAGTGAAGGGAAAATTTTGAAACCTCTTTGCATGTTAAGAGGAAACTGAGAAGCTTATTTTTTCAAAATTTCAAAATTTTCCATTGGAAAATAGCAACATGAAAAATACTGAATTAGTTGAAAATATAGTCTCACACATTTCAAAATTTTCCTGGAAAACTAGTGAGGGGAAAATTTTGAAACTTTTTGCATGTAAAGAGGATGCTGAGAAGCTCATTTTTCTAAAATTTCAAATTTTTCCAGTGGAAAACAACAACATGAGAAATCTTGAAAATCAACCTACAAAAACTGAATTAGTTGAGAAAACAGTCTCACATATTTCAAAGTTTTCCTGGAAAACTAGTGAAGGGAAAATTTTGAAACTTTTTGCATGTAAAGAGGATGCTGAGAAGCTTATTTTCTCAAAATTTCAAATTTTTCTAGTGGAAAACACCAGCATGAGAAATCTTGGAAATCAACCTACAAAAACTGAATTAGTTGAAAATACAGTCTCACATATTTCAAAGTTTTTCTGTAAAACTAGAGAAGGGAAAATTTTGAAACTTTTTGCATGTAGAGAGGAAGGTGAGAAGCTCATTTTTCCAAATTTCAAATTTTTCAAGTAGAAAATTACAACATGAGGAATCTTGGATCAACCTACAAAAACTGAATTAGTTGAAAATACAGTCTCACATTTCAAAGTTTTCCTGGAAAACTAGAGAAGGGAAAATTTTGAAACTTTTTGCATGTAGAGAGGAAGCTGGGAAGCTCATTTTCCCAAAATTTCAAATTTTGCCAGTGGAAAATAACAACATGAGGAATATTGGAAATCAACCTACAATAACTGAATTAATTGAAAATAGTCTCACACATTTCAAAGTTTTCCTGGAAAACTAGTGAAGGGAGAAATTTGAAACTTTTTGTATGTAAAGAAGAAGGTGAGAAGCTCATTTTCTTTAAATTTCAAATTTCCATTTATTACTATTTCTTATAATAAGAATGTGAACCTCAGTGATGTTATGACCCTACAATTTCCTTCAAATTTCTCACAAATTCTTTCAAATTCCCCATAAATTCCTTTAAATTCCCTATAAATTCCCAAATTCTCATAAATTCCGATGAGTTCCTTCAAATTCCCCACAAATTCCTCTAAATTTTCCACAAATTCCCCTAAATTCCCCACATTTTTGGCAAAGAATTCCTAGGTCGTTTGCCCCATTGGGCTTGAAATTTGACTTTAAGTCGGAATTTTGTCCAAAACTTCAAACTTAACTTTCTCAAAAACATCTTAATACCGTCTGAAAGTCCCGTATCAAGAGCTACAAATCCTAGTAAATAATCAAACGGCGTAAGGTCTGGAGATTACAGTGGCCCGTTAACAAAATTAAATATATACTTTGACTAAAACGACTCTTGACAAATCCACTACCGACTGAAACCCAAAATTAAAAGTGTTTAGAATACAGCGGACCGGGCAGCTAGAGCCGTCGGCACCGTCTACAGGATGGTCGCCGGGACCGACAACGCCGGAGGCGGCGTCTGGGGCCTTGCCTCTGCGGCTGCCGACTCCACGAGGACTTTAGCGACTGCGTCGTCCAGCGTACTACCCGTCAAGGTACCACCACCATACACACACTCCAACCCCTCTTTTCGTTTGACTTTGTACATATTAGGGTGACTATGGACTTTTTACTTTACACACACTGTACATTATGTTTGCATGTAAATAGTAGATGCATGGGTGCGCCATCAAAGTGTCAAGAACATTTTTCCAGAAGATTTATCGCGTATTAGTAGGGTGAAAGGGGGCATTATTAGATTACTTATCAATGAAAATCACAATTATTAAAATATTGTGCCTATATTACGCAGTTGGTAGCCGGTTCGGGAGCCACCGAAGAATCCGATGAGCATGATGCTGGAGGAGTGGCAGAGTTAGACGTACAAAAAAGCGCAGACGGCTACACCGAAGGTATTCCTGGGCCCATAACCAGGCTATTTGTAATCGCTAACCGAGGACTTGCCAATTTGGTACAAGATTTGATTCTGGTAAATAATGACCCATTATTGTATGTATGTGTATTGTATTTTTTATTTTCTTCTTAGCGTCTGGCCCAAACTAGCGAAAGACTAGTCAACTTCAAGGCACGTCTCATCACCGCCCTTATTTAAATAGTTGCCATCAGATTTTCAATTTTGTCATTTTGTTTTTTTTTGGAAAAAAATATAAAAAATTCTTCAAGCCAGGAAATAAATCATCCACCAACCACCAAGAGCTAGTAGTGAAATTATTAAATTATTATTATTGTACATAGTTAATTATGCAATTCATTAATTAAAATTGTAAATACCTTTATGTTTTCCAAAGTATGTATATAGATGAATCAAATTTTGATAGGTTTTAATATTGTTAAAGATTAGAGAGAGAGCGAGTAATTATTTGTAGGTATTTTATAATTTAATAAAAAAATTAGTACTATATTATTAGGTCACAGTAACCATTTCCTCATAGTCCCCAAAGTTCGTAAAAACATAATTCCAATGCTTGGGATCGCCCCGAGGGTCCAAAGGTAAATTACCAGGCGGTACCGCACTTGCGTTGTACTGTTGAAGCTTTAATTTTAAAGTTTCAACAACATTTGGGTACTTGTCGGCCAAATTTATGTACTCGCACGGGTCTTTGGCAATATCAAACAAACAAGCGGCTTTAATTGGATCGCAAGGTACCACAGTTGCGTTACCACACTGTACTGTTGCCTCACTTCTGAGGCGGTTGATTGTAGAGTCGCTGATGCTTCTGAGGGCTTTGCCCACCAGGCTTTGATGTATCAGAGAAGTATTGTAGGGTTGATTGCGGCCTGAAGGGCCGTACCAGTTGTCCCACGCGCCCTCATAAGTAGTACCTTGAATTAGCTTCCAGTTGTCGAGCATTAAAGCAGCGTTACCGTAAATGTCGTCAATGTTATGCAAGATTTCGTGTCTAGGAGATTCAATATTATGTGACAATGCATTCCAGATGCTTTGCCCATCCAAATCTTTTAAATCACTACAAATAATAATTTTTCAGACTTTGTATATTAATAGTAGGTACTTACTGGTTGTTAGTACCACCGGCTGCTGTTAGTAAGGTAGGCAACCAGTCGACGATTTGCATCAATTGCGTCGAGACTCTTGAGGGGGTTTTAATTAGGGGGCTCCATAGTAAGGCAGCACCTCTGATACCTCCTTGAATTTTGAATCAAATAGAGTTGAATGCACTTATACAGATTTAATTTGAGACAGTCTTTTGAAAAGGTTGTCACGCTATTTACGGATTGAAAAACGCTCCGGCAACTTTCCAGCGTTTAAATAGATGTTTTTCGCTAATAAGAAGCCATTGACGTCATTACTGACAAAGAAAATAAAATATTTTTTTCTCTAGAGTCGTTTTCAAAATAAAGACTGTCTCAAGTTGAGTAGTAAATTCTCGAATTTTACCTTCCCACAAAGTGTTTTTGACTCCTTTAAGGGGATAGTTGGAGGCGGCATTAAGGTTGAATCCAGCGGCGGGTCCTCCATTGTCAGTAGTAAAAACTATAATGCTATTTTCCAGCATGTCGTTGTGTTTTAAGGCTGCCACTACTCGGCCCACTGATTCATCTAGTTTGCTCAAGACCCCTTGAAAAAGTCACTCGATACAATTATTTATTATCATTTTATTTGAATTTTTTTATAAATTGAATATAAGGTTGGGTTACAAGTTAGTTAGGGAACAAATGTTGTTTTAAAGCTCAATTGTTAAGGTTTGTGTTCTAGAGCTGAATTGTTAGGGTTTGTATTTTGCTATTTACGTATGCCATTCGGATTGAAAAACGCTCCGACGACATTTCAGCGTTTATTGGATGTTTTTTGCCGAGAACTCACAGCCGTTGGGTTAGAATTGAAAACTTCCCAAACACATAAAAAAATATTTGGTTCCATGAAGCTGATCCACTTTCCAGGGAAAACACTGTAAATGGAGATGCAGGCCATAAGTCTTAAATATGTCTTTCAGATTGAAAAAATCATAAATCTCTTATTTTGGATTTTTGTGTTATGAAATTTTGTTGGGTTAAAGTTGAAAGGTTCCTAAATACATAAAAAAATATTTGGTTCCATGAAGTCGATCAACTTTCCAGGGAAATCACTGTAAATGGAGATGAAGACAATAAGTCCTAAATGTCACTTTCAGATTGAAAAAATCATAACTCTCTTATCTTGGATTTTTGTATTATAAAATTTTGCTAGGTTAGAGTTGAAAGGTTCCTTAACACATAAAAAAATATTTGGTTCCATGAAGCTGATCCACTTTCCAGGGAAAACACTGTAAATGGAGATGCAGACCAAAAGTCTTAAATATGTCTTTCAGATTGAAAAAATCATAACTCTCTTATTTTGGATTTTTGTATTATAAAATTTTGTTAGGTTAGAGTTGAAAGGTTCCTTAACACATAAAAAAATATTTGGTTCCATGAAGCTGATCCACTTTCCAGGGAAATCACTGTAAATGGAGATGAAGACAATAAGTCCTAAATGTCACTTTCAGATTGAAAAAATCATAACTCTCTTATCTTGGATTTTTGTATTATAAAATTTTGTTAGGTTAGAGTTGAAAGGTTCCTTAACACATAAAAAAATATTTGGTTCCATGAAGTTGATCAACTTTCCAGGGAAATCACTGTAAATGGAGATGAAGACAATAAGTCCTAAATGTCACTTTCGGATTGAAAAAATCATAACTTTCTTATCTTGGATTTTTGCGTTATGAAATTTTGTTGGGCTAGAGTTGAAAGGTTCCTAAACCCAAAAAAAATATTTGGTTTCATGAAGCTGATCAACTTTCCTGGAAAGTCAGTGTAAATGGAGATGGAGACAATAAGTCTTAAATGTCACTTTCAGATTGAAAAAATCACAACTCTCTTATTTTGGATTTTTGTATTATAAAATTTTGTTAGGTTAGAGTTGAAAGGTTCCTTAACACATAAAAAAATATTTGGTTCCATGAAGTTGATCAACTTTCCAGGGAAATCACTGTAAATGGAGATGAAGACAATAAGTCCTAAATGTCACTTTCGGATTGAAAAAATCATAACTTTCTTATCTTGGATTTTTGCGTTATGAAATTTTGTTGGGCTAGAGTTGAAAGGTTCCTAAACCCAAAAAAAATATTTGGTTCCATGAAGCTGATCAACTTTCCTGGAAAGTCAGTGTAAATGGAGATGGAGACAATAAGTCTTAAATGTCACTTTCAGATTGAAAAAATCACAACTCTCTTATTTTGGATTTTTGTATTATAAAATTTTGTTAGGTTAGAGTTGAAAGGTTCCTTAACACATAAAAAAATATTTGGTTCCATGAAGTTGATCAACTTTCCAGGGAAATCACTGTAAATGGAGATGAAGACAATAAGTCCTAAATGTCACTTTCGGATTGAAAAAATCATAACTTTCTTATCTTGGATTTTTGCGTTATGAAATTTTGTTGGGCTAGAGTTGAAAGGTTCCTAAACCCAAAAAAAATATTTGGTTCCATGAAGCTGATCAACTTTCCTGGAAAGTCAGTGTAAATGGAGATGGAGACAATAAGTCTTAAATGTCACTTTCAGATTGAAAAAATCACAACTCTCTTATTTTGGATTTTTGTATTATAAAATTTTGTTAGGTTAGAGTTGAAAGGTTCCTTAACACATAAAAAAATATTTGGTTCCATGAAGTTGATCAACTTTCCAGGGAAATCACTGTAAATGGAGATGAAGACAATAAGTCCTAAATGTCACTTTCGGATTGAAAAAATCATAACTTTCTTATCTTGGATTTTTGCGTTATGAAATTTTGTTGGGCTAGAGTTGAAAGGTTCCTAAATACATAAAAAAATATTTGGTTCCATGAAGCTGAATCACTTTCCAGAGAAAACACTGTAAATGGAGATGCAGGCCAAAAGTCTTAAATGTGTCTTTCAGATTGAAAAAATCATAACTCCCTTATTTTGGCTTTTTGTATTATAAAATTTTGTTAAGTTAGAGCTGAAAGGTTCCTTAACACATAAAAAAATATTTGGTTCCATGAAGTTGATCAACTTTCCAGGGAAATCACTGTAAATGGAGATGAAGACAATAAGTCCTAAATGTCACTTTCAGATTGAAAAAATCATAACTCTCTTATCTTGGATTTTTGTATTATAAAATTTTGCTAGGTTAGAGTTGAAAGGTTCCTTAACACATAAAAAAATATTTGGTTCCATGAAGCTGATCCACTTTCCAGGGAAAACACTGTAAATGGAGATGCAGACCAAAAGTCTTAAATATGTCTTTCAGATTGAAAAAATCATAACTCTCTTATTTTGGATTTTTGTATTATAAAATTTTGTTAGGTTAGAGTTGAAAGGTTCCTTAACACATAAAAAAATATTTGGTTCCATGAAGCTGATCCACTTTCCAGGGAAATCACTGTAAATGGAGATGAAGACAATAAGTCCTAAATGTCACTTTCAGATTGAAAAAATCATAACTCTCTTATCTTGGATTTTTGTATTATAAAATTTTGTTAGGTTAGAGTTGAAAGGTTCCTTAACACATAAAAAAATATTTGGTTCCATGAAGTTGATCAACTTTCCAGGGAAATCACTGTAAATGGAGATGAAGACAATAAGTCCTAAATGTCACTTTCAGATTGAAAAAATCATAACTCTCTTATCTTGGATTTTTGTATTATAAAATTTTGTTAGGTTAGAGTTGAAAGGTTCCTTAACACATAAAAAAATATTTGGTTCCATGAAGTTGATCAACTTTCCAGGGAAATCACTGTAAATGGAGATGAAGACAATAAGTCCTAAATGTCACTTTCAGATTGAAAAAATCATAACTCTCTTATCTTGGATTTTTGTATTATAAAATTTTGTTAGGTTAGAGTTGAAAGGTTCCTTAACACATAAAAAAATATTTGGTTCCATGAAGTTGATCAACTTTCCAGGGAAATCACTGTAAATGGAGATGAAGACAATAAGTCCTAAATGTCACTTTCGGATTGAAAAAATCATAACTTTCTTATCTTGGATTTTTGCGTTATGAAATTTTGTTGGGCTAGAGTTGAAAGGTTCCTAAACCCAAAAAAAATATTTGGTTCCATGAAGCTGATCAACTTTCCTGGAAAGTCAGTGTAAATGGAGATGGAGACAATAAGTCTTAAATGTCACTTTCAGATTGAAAAAATCACAACTCTTATTTTGGATTTTTGTATTATAAAATTTTGTTAGGTTAGAGTTGAAAGGTTCCTTAACACATAAAAAAATATTTGGTTCCATGAAGTTGATCAACTTTCCAGGGAAATCACTGTAAATGGAGATGAAGACAATAAGTCCTAAATGTCACTTTCGGATTGAAAAAATCATAACTTTCTTATCTTGGATTTTTGCGTTATGAAATTTTGTTGGGCTAGAGTTGAAAGGTTCCTAAATACATAAAAAAATATTTGGTTCCATGAAGCTGAATCACTTTCCAGAGAAAACACTGTAAATGGAGATGCAGGCCAAAAGTCTTAAATGTGTCTTTCAGATTGAAAAAATCATAACTCCCTTATTTTGGCTTTTTGTATTATAAAATTTTGTTAAGTTAGAGCTGAAAGGTTCCTTAACACATAAAAAAATATTTGGTTCCATGAAGTTGATCAACTTTCCAGGGAAATCACTGTAAATGGAGATGAAGACAATAAGTCCTAAATGTCACTTTCAGATTGAAAAAATCATAACTCTCTTATCTTGGATTTTTGTATTATAAAATTTTGCTAGGTTAGAGTTGAAAGGTTCCTTAACACATAAAAAAATATTTGGTTCCATGAAGCTGATCCACTTTCCAGGGAAAACACTGTAAATGGAGATGCAGACCAAAAGTCTTAAATATGTCTTTCAGATTGAAAAAATCATAACTCTCTTATTTTGGATTTTTGTATTATAAAATTTTGTTAGGTTAGAGTTGAAAGGTTCCTTAACACATAAAAAAATATTTGGTTCCATGAAGCTGATCCACTTTCCAGGGAAATCACTGTAAATGGAGATGAAGACAATAAGTCCTAAATGTCACTTTCAGATTGAAAAAATCATAACTCTCTTATCTTGGATTTTTGTATTATAAAATTTTGTTAGGTTAGAGTTGAAAGGTTCCTTAACACATAAAAAAATATTTGGTTCCATGAAGTTGATCAACTTTCCAGGGAAATCACTGTAAATGGAGATGAAGACAATAAGTCCTAAATGTCACTTTCAGATTGAAAAAATCATAACTCTCTTATCTTGGATTTTTGTGTTATGAAATTTTGTTGGGTTAGAGTTGAAAGGTTCCTAAATACATAAAAAAAATATTTGGTTCCATGAAGCTGATCCACTTTCCAGAGAAAACACTGTAAATGGAGATGCAGGCCAAAAGTCTTAAATGTGTCTTTCAGATTGAAAAAATCATAACTCTCTTATTTTGGATTTTTGTATTATAAAATTTTGTTAGGTTAGAGTTGAAAGGTTCCTTAACACATAAAAAAATATTTGGTTCCATGAAGCTGATCAACCTTCCAGGGAAATCACTGTAAATGGAGATGAAGACAATAAGTCCTAAATGTCACTTTCAGATTGAAAAAATCATAACTCTCTTATCTTGGATTTTTGTGTTATAAAATTTTGTTGGGTTAGAGTTGAAAGGTTCCTAAATACATAAAAAAATATTTGGTTCCATGAAGTTGATCAACTTTCCAGGAAAGTCACTGTAAATGGAGATGAAGACAATAAGTCCTAAATGTCACTTTCAGATTGAAAAAATCATAACTCTCTTATCTTGGATTTTTGTGTTATGAAATTTTGTTGGGTTAGAGTTGAAAGGTTCCTAAATACATAAAAAAATATTTGGTTCCATGAAGCTGATCCACTTTCCAGAGAAAACACTGTAAATGGAGATGCAGGCCAAAAGTCTTAAATGTGTCTTTCAGATTGAAAAAATCATAACTCTCTTATTTTGGATTTTTGTATTATAAAATTTTGTTAGGTTAGAGTTGAAAGGTTCCTTAACACATAAAAAAATATTTGGTTCCATGAAGTTGATCAACTTTCCAGGGAAATCACTGTAAATGGAGATGAAGACAATAAGTCCTAAATGTCACTTTCAGATTGAAAAAATCATAACTCTCTTATCTTGGATTTTTGTGTTATAAAATTTTGTTGGGTTAGAGTTGAAAGGTTCCTAAATACATAAAAAAATATTTGGTTCCATGAAGTTGATCAACTTTCCAGGAAAGTCACTGTAAATGGAGATGAAGACAATAAGTCCTAAATGTCACTTTCAGATTGAAAAAATCATAACTCTCTTATCTTGGATTTTTGTATTATAAAATTTTGTTAGGTTAGAGTTGAAAGGTTCCTAAATACATAAAAAAATATTTGGTTCCATGAAGCTGATCCACTTTCCAGGGAAAACACTGTAAATGGAGATGCAGACCAAAAGTCTTAAATGTGTCTTTCAGATTGAAAAAATCATAACTCTCTTATTTTGGATTTTTGTATTATAAAATTTTGTTAGGTTAGAGTTGAAAGGTTCCTTAACACATAAAAAAATATTTGGTTCCATGCAGTTGATCAACTTTCCAGAGAAAACACTGTAAATGTGACAAATCACTTCAGATAATTTTATACCCCAGATTACGCTTTATCTGAAGCGTATGATTACTGTTTGGCAGGACGCTAGAAGTACTGATAAAAATTCACGAAACTGAGACAAAATACTTATTAAATCTTCATATGCATAGCAGTACAGCTAAGAACTTGACTAAGAACTTTTGATCCCAAACAGGGCGGGCCCTACAAATTATTTAGAAAGGTACTGCGACTTTAGTGTTGCGTTTCCGTATTAAATGCAAGATATTACCGATAATATCGTGGTTCTAAGACACCCAAAGAAACTTCAACGGCACCAGCTACAATTTATACATCAATGGAAAATTAAATGCTTTATAAGCCAGTGCTAAATTGGCTTGTTTAGCTTGTGGATATGTGAAAATATGAAATTTTACAATGCCTAAGAGAATATTGTCCATGACGCGTTGGAATGTGGCCGGGGCATTCTTCAACCCAAATGGCATACGAACGAATTCATAGTAGCCATTTTCCACTGAAAAGGTGGTCTCTGAAATAGCAGTTGGTTGTTAAAATTATCACCCATTATTACGTAAAAAACATTTTCCGTCAACAAATTTATTGACTTGTTTCGGCAATTTTCACGAATCTGTCTCTTTACATAAATTACAAATGGGTGGCAAGTTTTGAAATAAACACCCTGTATAAGATAAATAATAATTATCAATAAATGAACTGATTCAATGGAAGACACTCTACTGATAACTGGAAAAAAGTTTGATAACGAGCCATATTCTACAATGGTAAAATCAGTATAGATATCAATAGTTATTTCTACTTAAGGGTATGTAAAGGCGATTCTCTATGAAAAGTTTTATAGTTACCAGCAAACCGTTGACGTTTATAATCATCAATAGGAAACTTGGCAACCTCCTCATCCGGGGCAGGTAAAGGGTTATAAGGGTTGGCCGAATGCACAGCCGCATGAGCCAAATACAGAAATAAGGGCCTGTTTTTGTCATGCTGGTTAATGATGTTAACTGATTCTTCTGTAAACAAATCGGTGGAATATTGGCCGTGCAACTGGTAGCCAATACTCATGTTGACTCGCATATCCAAGCCCCATCCTGGTTTTTCAACAGCTGAGTGGTCATAGTAATCCTGATGTCCTGTCCAATAACCTAAAATCCTGTGTAAACATTTTAAGTTGCAAATAAAACATTACACTTCTTACCTAAATGCGATACAAAGCCCCTATACAAAGGGGTGTACTCTTTTTTCCAAGATCCTAAATGCCATTTGCCTACAATCCTATTAACGTAGCCTAATTCTTGTAAATATTGCGGCAAAAGTTTTTCCGTAAGCGGCAAACCCCTAGGCTCGGCACCATATAAAACAGTATGTTGCATTCCTGTGTGAATCGGGTATTTACCAGTCATTAAGGCACTTCTTGAAGGGGTACAAATCGGGTTGACGTAGTAGTTGTTCAAGATCAGGCCGGAATAAGCCAGGGCGTCAATGTTAGGGGTCGGGATTTGCCCGGAACCGTGAAAGCTTACATCATTAAAGCCCTACAAGAATTTCCATGCCAAACTGTGTAAAATACGTTTGTAGTTTTTTACCAAATCGTCAGCGATTATGAAGACGATGTGAGGCCGGGTACTGGTACTACTTGCACTACTGATAAATAAGATTGTGCCAATTAGAATTTTAAACATGTTGTTGTTGGCCATTGAATGGTTAATGCTAAAATGACTCGAATTATCATTAAATGTTTACATATTTCGAGTGCAACGATTGATAATTACGTGTTTCTATTATCGTAATTAGGTACACAATAATTCATTATTTGATCTGTAATTAGTCTATATACTTGAACGGTTAAGAATATTTTTGAATATACAGGATGTTCTGTTTAAGCAGAAACAAAAATAAAAAGAAAATCCTATTTTTGGCTTTGGAAAATTTTCAAAATCATGTCATGAATAATTGCCCATATCTTTGGTAAAATTTGAGCAAATGGAAATAAATTATACACCATTGGAAAGAGCATTAAATTCTCTATGAATCTGTGCAAAATTGAGTTTGATTGCTCAAATAGTTTTTGAGCAATTGAGCCTTAAAGTTGACTTTTAGTCCAAATTTTGTACTCAATGCACCTTAATTGCTTACTGGAATGGAGCCACGCCTTAGACAAATAATTCGTGTTAAATATCCCAAAGACTTCCTAGACGCCCAGATTACACGACAGCTGCAATTATCCTATTTCGAAATCCAGAAATCCATCAAACCAGTCAGATTTTTTTCACTTTAAGAACATTTTCGAATATTCAGAATCATTCTAGAACAGATCAGAACGCTTTTGAACTTTCGACAATAGTTCTAGAACGCTTAGAACTAACTGAAAACTTTCAGAACACCTTGAACTGATTTGAATCCTTCATAGACATATTAAAATGTTAATAATATAGCAGTTTCAAATTCAATATTTGGAACTTCCATAAAAAGACACTATTTTGGAATTTTTACTTCAAAAACTATCGGGGGCTCAGATATGAAACTCTATTCTTGAAGGTTTGAGGTAAAACATACTAAAAATTCAAGCTGATCAAACCGCTGCTAATAAAGTTACGAATTTTCTAAATTAGGCAAAAATGAATACATTGACAAGCCTCTATTTTGGAATTTTTACCTCAAAAACTATCGGGAGCTCAAAGATGAAACTGTGAGACTCTATTCTGACTATTCTTGAAGGTTTGATATAAAACATAACAAAAATTCAAGCTGATCAAACTGCTGATAATAAAGTTACGAATTTTCTAAATTAGGCAAAAATTAATACATTGACAAGCCTCTATTTTGGAATTTTCACCTCAAAAACTATCGGGGGCTCAGAAATGACACTTTGAGGCTCTATTCTTGAAGGTTTGATGTAAAACATACTAAAAATTCAAGCTGATCAAACTGCTGATAATACAGTTACGAATTTTCTAATTTAGGCAAAAATAAATACATTGACAAGCCTCTATTTTGGAATTTTTACCTCAAAAACTATCGGGAGCTCAAAGATGAAACTTTGAGACTCTATTCTTGAAGGTTTGATGTAAAACATACTAAAAATTCAAGCTGATCAAACTGCTGATAATACAGTTACGAATTTTCTAATTTAGGCAAAAATAAATACATTGACAAGCCTCTATTTCGGAATTTTTACCTCAAAAACTATCGGGAGCTCAAAGATGAAACTTTGAGACTCTATTCTTGAAGATTTGAGGTAAAACATATTAAAAATTCAAGCTGATCAAACCGCTGATAATAAAGTTACGAATTTTCTAAATTAGGCAAAAATGAATACATTGACAAGCCTCTATTTTGGAATTTTTACCTCAAAAACTATCGGGGCCTCAGAGATGAAACTTTGAGACTCTATTCTTGAAGATTTGAGGTAAAACATACTAAAAATTCAAGCTGATCAAACCGCTGATAATAAAGTTACGAATTTTCTAAATTAGGCAAAAATTAATACATTGACAAGCCTCTATTTTGGAATTTTCACCTCAAAAACTATCGGGAGCTCAAAGATGAAACTTTGAGACTCTATTCTTGAAGATTTGAGGTAAAACATACTAAAAATTCAAGCTGATCAAACCGCTGATAATAAAGTTACGAATTTTCTAAATTAGGTAAAAATGAATACATTGACAAGCCTCTATTTCGGAATTTTTACCTCAAAAACTATCGGGAGCTCAAAGATGAAACTTTGAGACTCTATTCTTGAAGGTTTGATGTAAAACATACTAAAAATTCAAGCTGATCAAACCGCTAATATTGAAGTTACGAATTTTCTAAATTAGACAAAACTGAATACATTGACAAACCTCTATTTTGGAATCTTTACCTCAAAAACTATCGAGAGCTCCAAGATGAAACTTTGAGGCTCTATTCTGACTATTCTTGAAGGTTTGATATAAAACATAATAAAAATTCAAGCTGATCAAACTGCTGATAATAAAGTTACGAATTTTCTAAATTAGGCAAAAATTAATACATTGACAAGCCTCTATTTTGGAATTTTCACCTCAAAGACTATCGGGGGCTCAGAAATGAAACTTTGAGGCTCTATTCTTGAAGGTTTGATGTAAAACATACTAAAAACTCAAGCTAATCAAACCGCTAATATTAAAGTTACGAATTTTCTAAATTAGACAAAACTGAATACATTGACAAACCTCTATTTTGGAATTTTTACCTCAAAAACTATCGGGGGCTTAGAGATGAAACTTTCGAGTGTGATTTTTTGGCTCAATACTCAAGACAGCATTAAAATGGTCACAGCGCCTAAAAAAAAATAGTTAGCAAAAAAAGTCATGGGGCAAAGTTGATCAGAATGTAATTATCTACAACTTCTATGAAGGTCATTTTGTCGACAGAAAATAAATAAGAAAAAAGGCTTTCGAGTGTGATTTTTTGGCCCAATAATCAAGATAGCACTTAAATGGTTACAGCGTCTAAAATAAAATAGCTAGCAGAAAAAGTCATAAGGCAACGTTGATCAGAATGTAATTATCTACAACTTTTATAAAGGTCATTTTGTCGACAGAAAATAAATAAGAAAAAAGGCTTTCGAGTGTGATTTTTTGGCTCAATACTCAAGATAGCACCAAAATGGTTACAGCGCCTAAAATACAATAGCTAGCAAAAAAAGTCATAAGGCAAAGTTAATCAGAATGCAATTATCTACAACTTTTATAAAGGTCATTTTGTCGACAGAAAATAAATAAGAAAAAAGGCTTTCGAGTGTGATTTTTTGGCTCAATACTCAAGATAGCACCAAAATGGTTACAGCACCTAAAATACAATAGCTAGCAAAAAAAGTCATAAGGCAAAGTTGATCAGAATGTAATTATCTACAACTTTTATAAAGGTCATTTTGTCGACAGAAAATAAATAAGAAAAAAGGCTTTCGAGTGTGATTTTTTGGCTCAATACTCAAGATAGCACCAAAATGGTTACAGCACCTAAAATACAATAGCTAGCAAAAAAAGTCATAAGGCAAAGTTAATCAGAATGCAATTATCTACAACTTTTATAAAGGTCATTTTGTCGACAGAAAATAAATAAGAAAAAAGGCTTTCGAGTGTGATTTTTTGGCTCAATACTCAAGATAGCACCAAAATGGTTACAGCACCTAAAATACAATAGCTAGCAAAAAAAGTCATAAGGCAAAGTTGATCAGAATGTAATTATCTACAACTTCTATGAAGGTCATTTTGTCGACAGAAAATAAATAAGAAAAAAGGCTTTCGAGTGTGATTTTTTGGCCCAATAATCAAGATAGCACTTAAATGGTTACAGCGTCTAAAATAAAATAGCTAGCAGAAAAAGTCATAAGGCAACGTTGATCAGAATGTAATTATCTACAACTTTTATAAAGGTCATTTTGTCGACAGAAAATAAATAAGAAAAAAGGCTTTCGAGTGTGATTTTTTGGCTCAATACTCAAGATAGCACCAAAATG